GAGATAGGAGAAGTCAGAGGTCACCTACCTGACGAGATTGTGTGAATAGATAATGGAACGGGGCTGGAGAAACACTGATAGGGACAACAGTACATAGAAAGTTGGGGAGAGCCATAAAAGCCTACGTCCTGAAGAGAAACGGCACATAGAAGAAGAAGAGTATGAAAGATGAAACGTTTCTTTGTGTGAGGTTGGCATTTAGCATTGTCAGTTTGGTGTTCGTTTTGTGTGTCACATTTCCAAGATGTCAAGTTTGAGGAATTCTTTGAAAAGAGCGTGCGACATGTCGATTTAGTGAACAATGCCGAGACAGGGACTCATTTCGATTGTGTCACTAACGAATTCATTAGCGTCTTCAGAGGGGGGGGGGTCAGACATTTTTAGGATTCTTGCACGTTTCCATAAATGGCCAAGAATTCGAAGAATAAATTATCCAAATAAAAAGAAAACTCAAAGAGAAATATAGAGAGTCATATGAAAAAGAAAAAACACAATCTATCTATCTATCTATCTATCTATCTATCTATCTATCTATCTATCTATCTATCTATGTCAGTCTGCTCCTTATCTATCTATCTATCTATCTAAATACATTTATAGGGAAGAGAGAGAGAGAGAGATAGAGAGAGAGAGAGAGAAAGAGAATTATTTACATTATGCATATTATTAAGCGTCTACTCAAATATGATTATTCACTAAAAAAATAACGTCTGATAAAAAATGTTTAAATATATATATATATATATATATATATATATATATATATATATATATATATAAAAACACACACTGATATATATATATATAGATAGATAGATAAGGAAATGAATTATCTTTGGTATATTCAAAAGTCCCTAGCAGTCTTTTTTTAAACCAGAGATTGGAAAATATTTAATAAGTGATTTTAATTGGGAAAGATTGCAGAAAACTCTCTCTCTCTCTCTCTCTCTCTCTATATATATATATATATATATATATATATATATATATATATATATATATTAATGGAAATGTCAAAATTTTCACTTAGGTGATTGATGCATTCAGCACTTCTACTCCAGAGTTTCGTAGACGAACCTTTGTGTAATCGTTCTGTCTACTCGTCGGGAGGAATCAGTAATTGTATTAAGTTTTATAGGGACAATTTTATGACCATGTGGTAAATGCTTACTCATGACGCGTTTCGTAAAGAATAAAAGAACAGAAAGCTGTTTTTAAAGTAGGAATCCTACAAATATATATGATCGACAAAAGAATTTTTTCTGCTCTCACGGTAATTCACCATTGGGACGCCTCACACATCAGGCATTGACTTCGCCCTTTGTTGTGGAGTATTTTCACAGTGGAGGCTTGTATTTCTAATAAGTCGTCCTAAATTAGGTCCGACGTACAAAACGTTAGGAACTTGGAAAATAAGAGTCAATGGCGCAGCAATCTAGTTGTGATGGTTCAAATGTCCGAATCTCGACTGACGCGCTCAACACCATTCAGTATTTATCGTTCCACCCACGAGGACCGAATATGGCACAAGGCCGGTTTTATTGTGGGTATCCCCGAGCCCGTAGGCCCGGCCAAAAATATAGCCTTTGAAGCCGATTAGACGGGTTCAGGCCCTGTCTACCTCCCCGGACGAAACCTTGCCCTTCGGCAAAGCCTCGTCCGGGTTCCTCTCTGCTAACGCAGAGAGTTCGACAGGAGGCGTACGCAGTCAGAGACCGCGAGACGCCATTCGGTATTTATCTTTTCACCCACGGAAAGAATATGGCACAAAGGCCGGTTTTTATGTGGGTTTCCCCGAGCCCGTAGGCTCGGCCAAAAAAATAGCCTTTTGAAGCCGATTATACGGGTTCAGGCCCATTCGGTCTACCTCCCCACGGAAAAGACGAAACTTTGCCCTTCGGCAAAGCCTCGTCCGATTAAACGGGTTCCTCTACCTCCCGGACGAACGCAGAGAGTTCGACGCAAGGCGTCCGCAGTCAAAGACCGCGAGATGCCATTCGGTATTTATCTTTTCACCCACGGAAAAGAATATGGCACAAGGCCGTTTTTATGTGGGTTTCCCGAGCCCGTAGGCTCGGCCAAAAAAATAGCCTTTTGAAGCCGATTAAACGGGTTCAGGCCCTGTCTACCTCCCCGGACGAAACCTTGCCCTTCGGCAAAGCTTCGTCCGGGTTCCTCTCTGCTAACGCAGAGAGTTCGACAGGAGGCGTCCGCAGTCAAAGACCGCGAGATGCCATTCGGTATTTATCTTTTCACCCACTGAAAAGAATATGGCACAAGGCCGTTTTTTATGTGGGTTTCCCCGAGCCCGTAGGCTCGGCCAAAAAATAGCCTTTTGAAGCCGATTAGACGGGTTCAGGCCCTGTCTACCTCCCCGGACGAAACCTTGCCCTTCGGCAAAGCCTCGTCTGGTTCCTCTCTGCTTACGCAGAGAGTTCGACAGGAGGCGTCCGCAGTCAAAGACCGCGAGATGCCATTCGGTATTTATCTTTTCACCCACTGAAAAGAATATGGCACAAGGCCGTTTTTTTATGTGGGTTTCCCCGAGCCCGTAGGCTCGGCCAAAAAATAGCCTTTTGAAGCCGATTAGACGGGTTCAGGCCCCACCTCCAAACCTCCCCGGACGAAACCGTTGCCCTTCGGCAAAGCCGTCCGTCAAAGACCGTTTCCTACGATTTTTTATGGGTTTCCCCGAGCCCGTAGGCTGGCCAAAAAAATAGCCTTTTGAAGCAGATTAGAGTTCGACACGAGGCGTCCGCAGTCAAAGACCGCGAGATGCCATTCGGTATTTATCTTTTCACCCACGGAAAAGAATATGGCACAAGGCCGTTTTTTATGTGGGTTTCCCCGAGCCCGTAGGCTCGGCCAAAAAATAGCCTTTTGAAGCCGATTAGACGGGTTCAGGCCCTGTCCACCTCCCCGGACGAAACTTTGCCCTTCGGCAAAGCCTCGTCCGGGTTCCTCTCTTTACGCAGAGAGTTCGACAGGAGGCGTCCGCAGTCAAAGACCGCGAGATGCCATTCGGTATTTATCTTTTCACCCACGGCCAAAAAATAGCCTTTTGGCATTAGACAAGGCCGATTTTTTTTGGACGGTTTTGCCCTTCGGCAAAGCCCCGTTTCCTCTCTGCTTACGCAGAGAGTTAGACAGGAGGCGTCCGCAGTCAAAGACCGCGAGATGCCATTCGGTATTTATCTTTTTCCCACTGAAAAAATTGGCACAAGGCCGTTTTTTATGTGGGTTTCCCCCTGCCCGTAGGCTCGGCCAAAAAAATAGCCTTTTGAAGCCGATTAGACGGGTTCAGGCCCTGTCCACCTCCCGGACGAAACTTTGCCCTTCGGCAAAGCCTCGTCAGGTTCCTCTGCTTACGCAGAGAGTTAGACAGAGGCGTCCGCAGTCAAAGACCGCGAGATGCCATTCTGCTAGACTTGCCACTGCTACTCCTACTTATTATCTATGGGAGAGTCCATTACAATAGAATAGGTACCTAACACCCTTCGATCTCAGTGCTATAGTAGATATCCTGGGGCATGACACCCTGGAGTCCCAGCAAACATGACGAACATTGAGACATGCAACATGATCTGTGTATGTCACACATGTCAAGATTACGAACACTAACAGAACACTATCTGCTTGCGGTTCTAGGACAGTTACGTACTGGACATTTGCGTCCTGGACAATTGCATACCAGCCATTTGCGTCCCTAGACAAATGCATCCCTGGATAATAGCCTACCTCTGATATTTTTTTAAGCTTTTAAAGGAAATTACCATAAATTTTGAAAATGAATAGGTAGCAATCATAAAGTTTAAAAGAAAGCAAAAAATTGTTAAAAATGCAATGACTGATTAACAGAGTTGGAATATCGCTCTACACATCGCCAGTGTGCTTTTTTTCATCGGTGTTTTTCTATAATAGTAGTAGTTGTAATTTTCCACAAATATTCTTCTACTTGTGTTTGATTTTCGGAACTTAACCATGGGTTCTAAATAAAAATATAATCTATAAAATCCAGAATCTATGTTTGTGGTACTCACTGCTGGAGTAAACTGAAACTGCTAGCTTAGTTTTCTCTTGTTTTTAAAAATAAATTTCTCTCTCTTTTTATTTACTGTAACTACCTTTCTGCTTGTTTAGAGTATTTAAAGGTATTTGTGTGCAAATTTTTATCTTAAACAGCTAAAAAAAAATGGTACTTCAAAAAATTATCAGAGGTACGCAATTATCCAGGGACGCATTTGTTTAGGTACGCAACTGTTAAGGGACGTCAATTCAATCCTTTTCATGTCTCGGAGTGGCCTGTGTTGTCGGCAGAAGCGGGTCCTAGCTGCAAAAGCCTGTGTGGATGTTCCTTCTGGGTATGAAGTGTATGAAGATGATTCGATTTCGTGTGCTGGGTGAAGTGAAGGAACTGAAGGAAGTTAGATCGTTTAAGCATTTGCTATGGAAATAACGATAGAGTAGCGACAGACTGGCGACGTTTCATCTGTGAGGAAATGGACTGTAAAGTTGAAAATAATTCATGGCCCACAGGGCCGCGTAAATACTTTTGAATTTTGTCAGGTCATCAATGCTTTCTCCACTCTCATACATAGCTAGCTAGCTAGATACGAACAGACTGAGATACATATGAAAAGACTGAGATCGATAGATAGATATGAACAGACTGAGATAGATAGATAGATAGAAAGAAAGAAAATAAAATATGAACATTGATTGATTGAATCGTTTTCTATGGCTTATGAACTCTTTTCAAGTTATTTAAAGCCAGAAAAATATTTTTAGACTGTAAGAATTTTTTTAGAAAATACTATTTTATTGATAGAAGTCTTACTAATTAATCCATACTTGGGAGGAAAAGAGATTGATTCATAACTTTCTAAATGATATTTGCGTGTAATTGAATATAACGAACCCAACTAGAATTGGAATTCCGCTCTCCGATTAACAATTCCGAGCCATTATCCATTACACCACTCGCATATCCAAGCTTAAACCATCTTGTATTCCCAAGCGGTAACCTATCTAGGTACTGATAAGTTTGGACGTTGCTTAACTTCGGTGATCGTACGGGATCCCGTGTTTAACCGTGATATGGCCGTAAGCCGATAGATATGCACAGAAAGAGATAGATAGATAGATAGATAGATAGATAGATAGATAGATAGATAGACAGATAGATAGATAGATAGAGTGTTGAGGGGTCCACCCTTTTTTATACAAATGAACTCACCCAGTATATACATATACTCATGCAAGAGCGAGACGAGAGCAAGACCGAAGAGTCGAGTCGAGTCCAGAGTGGCAGAGTAAAAGGTTGTAGGTAACCGGAAGAGTGAGGGGGTTAGGTAACAGCGTTGTAGGAGTCACAGTGAGCGAGCACGTAGACCCAGTAAGAAGTCATACAGTGATACTTCAATACCAAAGACTGTATATATATTTTGCTACTAACCCGTATTCCTGGAACTACTAACCTGCATTACCAGTTTGTATTATTACGTAAATACATTATTTTCCTATATTCATTCCTAGCGTTTGTTATTTATTGGTACCGGATTTCAACCTGGAATCCACAACAGATAGATAGATAGATAGATAGATAGATAGATAGATAGATAGATAGATAGATACGTACGTATGACTGTAGTCTAATAATAAAAAATAAAGAGTGTAAACCTTGTGTATACTGAGTCCCCAAGACAGTCCAGTTTTTTGTTCAGCATTGTTTTAGCAACTCCTGCGACGGCGCTGGTGCCAATTTGCATCGGACCCTACCGTGGACAACATCGATGGCATGGAGAGGGAAGCGTTCTGCGTGGGCAAACGCCGAACTCTCATAAAAACCCTGGCCAGCGTCGCCTCACCCCTACGGCAAAACACGGTAATCCAATCTACTGATGGGAGGATTCTGAAGGTCATACAGTATGGGGAACTGGCCACTTGCAAGAGCGAACGTGGAGGTCGACCTCACCTTCGCTTCAACGACGTCTGCAAAAGAGACTTGAGGGCAATGAACATGGATAACGAGTGGTGGGAAGACGTCGCCTACGATCGCTCACGCCGGAGACGCGATTTACATCGAGAGCTGGTGTAAGGAATCTTGTTGACGGAGTGAAGCGTGCTCGAAGGAAAGAAAACAACGCGACGACACCGAGGGAGAGAGAGACAGTCTTCATATGCATTGGTTGCAATTGGTACTGTCACTTCCGTGTGGGCCTGCAGAGCCATGACAGATGAGACATAACTCCTTGGGCGCAGATCTATAGTGTCTTTCGAGAACGACGGTGCCATGCACACAAGGTGCAGCAATAGTAAGGTCCCTTTTTTTTCGAGCTGATATGGATAGGACAACGTGTATGAATTGTGGCCATTCAGACCTAACACTACCAGACTTTTTCTTGTGGGGTGTACTGAAAGATCTTTTTTAAAGGCTCAAACCGAAAACAATTCCTGAATTAAAATGAGCAATTTCTGATAAATTTTCTGAAATCAATGTAGAAATTTATCAAATGGTTTGTAGAAGAGTTACTGATAGATTTCAGATTTTTATTGAACTGGAAGAGAGCATTTTAAAAATGTTAAATAGTTTGTTAATCGTAACAAATCATGTTTTTTAACGAGATAATACTTATAGATTTTCTTTAAATATTGTAATTAGTTTTTGTTCAATAAAAGTTATTAAATAAAATCAGGGCGTTAACTTTGACATGCCCTATATATATATATATATATATATATATATATATATATATATATATATATATATATATATTAAACAGAATCGCATTTCTTCTGAATACGCTTGACATAGAAATAAATATATACGTATTGCAGAAAAATAGATCTTGTATAAAATAATCGTCGTTAATGAATAGACTCCCCAGGCAGTAAAACCAACTCGATATTTTACCAACAAAATGGGTGTCCTAGGTAAGACGATAAACTACATCCAGCAGCAGGGTCTCTGATCAGGATGTTTTGAGGAGCATAAAAGCATCTCTTAATTGCTGGTGTTACCGGGTCCACCCTGACCCGTGGTGGTGGTACCTGTTAGGGTCCAAACAATGGGCAAATAGTGAACTCTCAAACGGGGGTAGAAATACTATGAAAGTGTAAATATAGGTTTTAATACCAGCAATACATTTTTGTAAAAGTTAACAGCAATGAATTTTTGAAGAAAAAATATTACCAGCAATACATTTTTGAAAAAAAAATATTGCCAACAATAAAAACCTTGTCGGCATTAAATAACCAATTGAGGTTGATATGCCGTAAACCAAACAAAACGAAACCAACAAAATGCTTAAAATAAAGATGAAAGACATAATGAGAACGTGAGATTGGGTTACCAATTCCCCTACACAAGCATCTTAACTATCGGGGATTTGGCTTAAACGAGGCGTTCGAGAGACGGTCAAAGTAAAGACGCAGTATCATTTATTTAAAAATTAACACACAGCGTTTGTAAAGCTTCTTAATAATTCACTATCGGCCAGAAACTATTACTAGTTGTCTGTATTAAAACTTTTTGAACGTAATACTTAATGGTTATAGAGATATTTGCGTAGGTAGGACAGTAAAAGAAGTGGTTCTGCTACACATATTCGAGCTTACATTTGGAAACGGATCAGCTGATTCTTGAAGTTAAATAATTCTTGTCCATGTGAAAAATAAAATATTAGCCATCACTACGTTGTGTGTCATGGTTAGGTATCACGGCAATCACAGTCTCACTATAAAAACCAAAATCTTCCGGGTCGTGGTCCTCTCCACCCTTCTGTACGCTTACGAGACCTAGACTTTGTATCGTCGGGACATCATACATCTAGAGCGTTTCCAGCAAGCGAAGCTCCGAAGAATCCATCGCATCGGTTGGGAGAACCGCATCACCAACAAGGTAGTCCCCTCTCGGACATCTCTCCCCAGCATCGAGGACGGATTGTAATTACCAACGATGAAAGACCACAGCCATCGTTACAAAGCTTCGGGTTACGCGGCGCTGGAATCTTTTCAAACCTGACGCCAATGAAATTCGCGTTTTGTGATATGAAATTAGCGTTTGTTTTTGTCTTTTCTATAAATATTTTCATAGTAACTGTTCTGATGAGCTACCCTCTTTGGTACATAGATTTTACTCATTTAAGCGGAGTACTAGATTGGCAGTTAGGTCCCATTTTACAGCTGAAATGGCAAAATGTAACCGTAAGTTCTATGCCAATAGTTTCTTCTCATGCACTCATCGCTGTTGAAACTCTCTTCGGGCTTCCCAGTCAAGTTTGATTTACAAAAATTTAGATGCAATCATTATCTTCTGTCTTCTTAATTCCTGTTCTTTTATTATTGTCTCTCCTTAATAATGTTTTTCTCATATACTTTCACACTCAGTACTTGTGTCTTAGTGGCTTTATTGTCTTGTTTGGAGTGAAATGATTAAACACACTTCAGCGTTGAATGCTAATTGCATAGATAAAATTTATGCTGAGAAAATTTTAGATCAAAATTCAGCTTACGAATTTATTAATCAAACCATGTGCATGTATATATATACATCAACACCTGGAAATAACCTCACACGTATGCTTTTATAGTCATGCATATTGAAAATGGTATAATATTATGACTAATGTGTGAAAACTATATATGTCTGGTCTGGGACGTTAAAAACATTTTTTTTCATTACTAGTCACATTGTCAGTCATCAAAAAGAATGTATTTTTAAACATCTGAAATGTTTATTCATATCAAAGCACGTAAATAATTGGATCGGTTGCAAATAGAGTTTCTTAATCAGTCGTTGTCAGGATTAATGACAAAAGTAAATAAGCATTTTACATGATGCCGCTTTCAGTTCTCACATAAGAAAGACTTTGAATCTCACTAGTTGTTGTATAATACTGTACCTGATTGGCAAGCAAAAAAACAAAATAAAACAGTCTGTGACCAGTTTAAGTTCATTTGTTTCTCTTCAAAATTACGAGGGTCGATAGATATGTAAGGTCGCCAATCCTATAAAACATGTTTTAGACCAGTTAGAATAATGAAAACTGGTACCAAAATTAAGACAATTTGATTTTCTTGAAAATGACGAGGGTTGATTGATAAGTAAGGTTTTCCGCCAGAAACTATCTTACACATTTGTAAGTCTACCATTTATCCATGCATTGAACATTAGTGTCGCATCTTGTCTGGCACTTCTGCTAGGTATTTAAATATTCTTGATAAAATATAAAGCAGAATCTGCAATGTTATTGGTCCTGACCTGTCATCTAATCTTCACTCACTTTCCCATTGCCGTAAAGTAGCTTCCTTGTACCTTTTCTATAAATATTTTCAAGGTAATTATTCTGATGAGATTTACTTCTTGATGTCTAGACTGAATTTAAGCAGAGTACTAGACTGGCAGCTAGGTTTCATCATTTTGCTGTTGAAATGGTTAGATGCATGCGTAGGTTCTATGCTAACAGTTTCTTCTCTCGCACTTCTCGCTTGTGGAATTCTCTACCGGCTTTTTCCTTTTCGGTTAACTTTGATCTTTAAAAATTTAAATGCAATGTCAGTTATTATCTTCTGTTTTCTTAATTTCTTTCTTTTATTGTCACTCACCTTAATAATGTTTGCTTTTTCTTTTTCTCATATTCTTTGACACTCACTGATCCCTTGCGTCTTAGCGGCTTTATTATCTTGCTTAGGGTGAAGTGATTAAATGCCCTTTGGTGACGCTAGGGATGTTCTAACTTATAAATTGTGAGCGCTAAAATATATATATTCTTGAAATTCATAAATATGTAGATCCATCAAAAAAAAAAATGAATTTAAAAATATTAGTTTGACTCCTTACTTCTTTCCTTTGAAAAAAAAAGCACAATGTGTTTAAAATTCCCAAATAAACACTTCTCTTGTGATACTCATAAATTCTTTTCAAAATGGCTGCTCATCTAGCGACACGTAGAAATTAAATGACTGTCACAATATTTTTGATTTTCAAAGGAGAAAGTCCAGCAAACATTTTCAGAATCTAGTGAATGTTTACGAAAAGGTTGTATTTGATGTATTCACTGTATGCGTAACATTAGAGTTATCTTGCAATCCGAGAGGGAGAAAAGG